TATATATATATATTTAATTTTTATTTTTTGATGCACTGCACAGAGGGGCAGTAAGATAGTGTGTGTGGTCTTCGGACATGAACATAATATTACTCAAGATTAGATTAAAAACAATTTTGTTAGAATCTTTAAAAACTAATCCATGCCGTTAGCTAGGTAAAAAAAAACTACTAATTCTAAAAAAATTATTATTATTAAATTCAAACAAAAAATCTTATTTTTTACAATTCATTAAAATTTTACTTCACATAGTATGTTTTGCTATTAAAAATTATCTATTTATAGTTTCCAAAAGTTTCCAATACTTAGAATTTTAAAGACCATTTATAAAAGAAACATTTCATTTATTTGTTTTTTTAACTTAAAAAGGAAACATTAGATTATGTTTCTATTCTGGCGCTTACAAATATACATTTATTGTAATTAGAGCCATTATTTTGATGACAATAAAATGTTCAAAAATGCCCTTAAATATCGCGTAATTATTTATGCAATCACAATATTTTATTTATTAATGCTTGGAAATAGAAAATATTTCAGATAATTAAACAGTAACTTTAATCCGAAATATTATTTCTTTAGTAAATTTATAAACAAAAAATACACGGATTAACAGAAATCAAAACCAAATAAATGTTTATTGGAGCAAATATAGTAACGTAAGGAGGAAACAAGGTTGTAGAATTTGCAGAAGGGTAATAAATAAATAAATAATAAATATATTAATTGAAATTAATAATATTAGAAAAATATTAGTAAAAATGACTTAATACCTAAATAACAGTTCTTAAATTTAAAAAAAAAAATACCTTAGGAAAAAAAAACTTCTTCTTTAAAATGTTAAAAAAAAGCCCCTAATGCTCAAAAAACGAGTAAATAAAGAAGAAAAAGCAAATGTCAAGAAAATGTTTGCGGCATTTATAATATGCAATATATTTTATGAAAAGTGCGTGAGTTAAAAGCAATTGTTTTGTCATAACAGTAACTTGAAACTATGAATGACGTCAACGCGTCAATATTCTCGGAAGTTATCATTAACTTTTTTCAAAACTGTTTTTTTTTTTAATGTTTATAATTATTCTTCTGACTCATATTCTTTCCTTTTTTTAAAAAAAAAACTAGCTTATAATAACATTATGATATATTGCTAGCAGTGACATTAGGTTTCTTTGTACATAATACAGAATATTAAATTTAGATTTTAAAATCTTTGTACATTAGGTTACTTTACATTGAATAGTTAATAATAAGTGAATTTTAAATGATAGTCACAACTTTAATAATAAAAATAATAATAAGGAATTCTTAGCTAAAATTTAAAATTTATAGCTTTAAAAGATTCTGTGACATAAAATATTCATTCTGAAGCAGATTTAATTTATTTATAAATGTAACTGTTTACAAAACTTAATCTTTCAACGTTTTGCAGATTTTAAATATAAAAACTAATATTTAAGCTTTATTTCCATTACTTATTTTATGTTTGTTGTAAAAAATATGCATACAAAAAAAATTATATTAATTATCACTTGGATAGAAACATTCAACCATTATACACCGAGAAAAAAAAGGTCATTAGCTACCAGAATATGGTAAAATTTAACGTGCTTCTGTCTCTATACGAAAACCAAAAACCTTTTTAATTTTTACCGGAGCGCTATTATAACGATTTTGATAAAATTAAAAGTAAAATATTCTTTTATAATGTGTGATAAAATTTGGTAATTTCATCAAAACTTATTGCAAGACATAAAAACCATTTATTTAGTTAAATTGAATGAGGTTTGCATTTTTTTAATAAATGTGAGTAGTAAAAAGTATAATTTTGAAAACCAGAATTTCCGGTGAATCGTTACTATATGAACCGAAAAATAACCAAATGACTGGTTTTAATACCGTAAATTTTGATTTATTAACCAGAATTATGTTTTTTTAATGCTTATGTTTCTTTGTACACTTTGCTGATGGTTTAGAAAACTAAAATTTGATTTCATAATTTGTGATATAATTTGCTAATATTATCATGATACCCTAGAGCAGGGAATAAAAACCATTTATTCGGTTAAATTTACTTTTCACTTTTGCATTCTTTACTCAATGTGTGATTTTAAGAACTTGAATTTTTAAAACCAGAATTTACAGTAAACCGTTACTATGTGAACGGAATTTTTTTTTTTTAAATGAATGGTATAATTACGAATTTTTTTCGTTTCACTAAACAGAACTATGTTTTTTTTTAAAAAAAAAAAAAAAGCATGAATCTTATTACTATACAGTACAGTACTTTAATCAAAACTATTTTCTTCGTGAGCATATAAGATAAGGGGTAGCCGCAAGATCCTAACAGTTTAGTCAATAGTTTGGTTAATAGTTGGATAGTTGCTCAATAGTTGGAGTTAATGTTAATTTCGTATTATGTTGTATTTAAAAAAAATTTTTAAGTGAAAACATTTGAATACTGTTTTAAGACTTCAATAATGATTCCATGCAATAATAACTTTTAGTTATTCATTACTTTTTTATTATTTTATTCGATACTCATCGGAAACAGTTTGAATTTTTAAGCATACAAATATTTATCTGATTTTAACCTATCAAATTTCAAATGACAAAATACAAAATTTCAAAGAAAATGCTCCAACAACTTCTGAAAAATTAAAATTTAAAATACGTCTGGTTCGAAATATCATAAATCGAAAAATATTCACCCAATCAAATTTTGCATTTTGTTTTTTTAATATTGCATATTTTAAAATGATTGTGAGATTTTATTTATCTTTTTATTTGAATTTTTTCCCATCATTATTCATTAAAATTATGAAAAAATTTTTTAAATTATATTTTGTATGGAATTACCTTTTGAATGTTATAACTGTGTTCAAAAAGCTATTACTTAGCTTAAAAAGCTAATCAAGATAAGGCTAAATACACTAAAAGTTATATTTACCTTAAGAGGCTCAATTTTTTGACTTCTCTCTTGACTTAACTATTGCCATTTTATTTTCCAAATTAAGGCTTACCTATAGTTTTTCTATGTAAAGAATACCCCAAGCCATTCGTCTGGAGTAGGGGCTGTGACTATGTTTACGATGTTTAACTATTACTACTTTGAGACAGGTTTTGGTTTGAGTCGGCTAGAGAAAGGGAATCAAGGGATGAAAGAAGCTCCCCTCTTTGAAATGCGCTATTTCTTGTTTCCATAGCAGCAGTAGACGGCTTTAGACTTCGTGGCGAGGGGAGTTCTTTCTATGGACAAACAATACATATTTTGATGGTCAGAATCCAAATCTTTAAAGACGAAGTATGTTCACCCCGAGAGGGCACGCTTTTGTTAAACATTTTGTAGCTAAATTATTTATTACCATTTACTATTTGGCATATTTGAGGTCAATTCTTCGAATTGTTATTAAGATTGGCCCTTAGTTCGTGAAAATCTGATAAAAAAGTAGTTCTTACCGATTTTTATCTATTTGCTCCCTATATACTGGTATTCAAGATTTACTGGTATTTTTAAATTTGTAAAGTTTAGTTGAAAATGTTCCAGTGGAAAAGAGACATTGTAAATGCATAAAATTTATTTTGGGTTTAGAAGTAATCTAAATTCCGCTGTAAGTGCATAATTAGGACGATATAAATTATGCAGAGATATAGAAGATGAAAAAATCCGAACACTTGACATTTGTAAGCATAATCACCGAATATCCTCTTAATTTTTATTTTTCAGCAAAATGTTTTAACTTAACAAATAAGCTTATTTTAACCACTTTTTCCCCGTTGCATCTTACCTTTCTTTTTCAGTTCTAAGAATCTTTTAGAAACTGATCCATGACTATTAAATTCAGCCGACTGTGAGAAAGCTGTATCCTATTACTGAAAAATTTTTATGAAACAAAGAAGTTTGAAGGAATGTTCAGTTTCTGAAATAACTTCACCTCACTTTATAACTTCACTTCACATCCCTTTGCAATAAAAATCGTTGCGAAATTGAATATGGAAATAAAGATGACTTCGTTGAAATCTTTACTGTAAAAATTGAAAACAGTTATTCAAGCCTCAAAGAGGACAAAAAATTTATTTTTCTTTAAATTGCGTTTTAAACTGTTTTAATTTTTTATCTAGGTCAGCTGTTCCCAAATGGTGCTCCGCGAAAGGGTCACAGGGGTTCCGAGAGTTAGGAATGTTTTTAATTTATATTCAATTAATAGTTATTTTTTTATTTTATTATTTCTGCTATTTTTATGAAATTATTTAATTGAAATGTTTGAAGAAAGAAATTTCAAAACAATGTTTTTTCTGATAACAATGAAATTAAGGAATTATGAAAAGGATCTATGCATGCATGAAATTTGTTAGTATTATTTCGAATAAAAATAATCAAATTCAGCAATGAAGCTTCCCTGATAACAATTCTCGACGTTTATTTTTTTCCTTTTTCCTTTTTATTTTAATGAAAACCATATTTCTCTTCATTCATTTTTAGTTTAAGAATGAACTAAAATTAAATTAAAAACTGGACTTAATACTGCTCCATATCTGTCAATCAATTGTCCGACATAAAACTTAATTTTAAGGCTAATTTTGATAAAACAATGGGAGGAGAAAATTTCATTCATTTATTCACTAAAAGTTTCAAAATAAATAAAATATTTAGATTATTACAAATTTTCAAAATAATTAATAGTCTTTCACTAATTAATATGTTCACAATTGCTAATTAAATTTATTCTTTAAGTCTCAGGGTTCCACCAAAAGAAGATCCTCCATTTAGGGTTCCACAGCTGAAAAAATTGGGAACCGTTGATCTCGGTCATCCGTGATCAGTCAGCATAATTTTAAAGAAATGATATATCTTTGTCGCACAATTTTAAGAAAAAATATTTTCGCGGTATTTATAAAATAAATATTTTGTAAGCCAAGTCTATAAAAAAATTTAATGGAAAAGAATGTTTCTTAAGAAACTTCTTATTACTTCCATGTTGTCATTGCTGGCATTCCTAAATTTTTTCTGAACTCCCCAACTATGAGTCACAATGAATTGACATTTTGACAAGAAACTAACTATTATCAGACAATTTTTCTTTCTAATGAATATGTACATTAACGCTAGGAGCTACATCTTTCAGCAATCATACAAAAGAATTTCTCTCTAAATATGAAACGTTTTATTTAGAAATCCTAAATCTCCTCATGTCTAACACTGATAGAAACTTTGGAGCTTGTTTAACCATGCCATTTACATTTTCTGAACCTTAATATGTACTTCGTTGTACAGTGCTCAAAATTATTACCGTATCACCCTGAATAACTTTTGCTCTAATGATCGGATATTCACGTTCTAGGGCTCAAACTTAATAGTTCGAGTGGGGGATCTCAAATATGCTAATTTATTCGTGCAGAAGATGACTTAAGTTGCAAACTCAGGCACAAAAACGTACTGTCTCTGAATAAATATACCCTTTTTTCGACGGATTTGGATTTCAGACCCCCTAAATGTTCCGCAATCTGGGGAATATAGTCCTATGAGTTTAGTCAGGAGAGGGGTTCAAAGTTTGGATCCCTTAATGTTAATTTTACTTTTTGCGCATTTCGCATTTCTCGAGAAAATTTTAAGCGAATTGAAAATTTTTTGAAACCAGTTATAAAATTCGTTTAGCCAAAGGCAATTCCATGCAAATAGTAAATTTTAGTGAGTATTTTTTATTTTATTATTTTGTTTAATAAGAGTCAAAAAATTTTGAATTGTAAGGTATTTTATCAAACTATGTATGAATAACTTTTATCTAAATATACATTGTTAGAAATTTCTCGAAAAAAAAATAGTTAAATAAAAGTTTATTTAATTGTTTTTTTTTACCATATTCAACCAAAACTACCAAATAACATGGTATTCAAACTGTTACCGCAATTTTAGAATGAAAATTACCGTGTACGAGAGTCATCTGTTAAGTAAGTTTTCTATGGGCGTAAAAGGGGAAAAAGCATAAAAAACAGTAAATATTTATTGAAAAAGATGCAGCAAAATGTTATCCACATCTTAGCATAACAACCACTGGAATTGTGGCACTTTTCATGCTTTAGAATACGATTTTGTAGTCCAGTATCATAGAAGTCTGCCAAATGGTAATAGAGAAAGCACGTCACAGCTACCTGCACGTCTTTGAGAAAGTAAAGCCCGGAATAGGAATTTATTCAGATGCAAGAATAAGTGGATGTAATTGGGAGAAATATCAGGTCTATATAGTGGATGGCTAAGCACCTCCTTCACACTCGACTAATTCCATAAAAAATCTACTACAAACATTTTGCTGTGAAGTGTTTGAGCATCCATTCTTAAATACCGATACTGCTCCCAGCTATTTTCTGCTTATGCACACAAAGAAATTCCTTTCCAGGCATTATCACTCTAGGGAAGTTATGACACAATGGTTCCATTCTCAGGCAACAGACTTCGGTTTTACTGGAATATAAGAGCCAACAAGTGTTACAATTCCAGTTGGTTCTATACTAAAAGGTAGCAGAATTAATTTAAAAAATAATAAGTAGTAGTAAAAATGATAAGTAGTCGAAATTAATCTTTCTACGTTGATATCTTTTATTTCCTTTTATGGGCCATGGGAAACTCGATTCTCGCATATCATTATGTTTGGCATTTATGAGTCAAAAATAGATCCCTTCCTTAGATATTTTAATCAAACCTTTCATAATTTGTATTTTAATCAAAGCAAGAAAAAAGGAAGAAAAAGAAGAAGTTTTAAAAAAACAATGACATAACGCTAGAAATAGTGCGCTGTGTTTCATTTATTTATAGCTCTAATTTATAGGAAAGTTTCAAATTGGTGATATTTCATGTCTATGGAAATTTCTTATCGTTTATTGGGAAGATATTAAATTTACGAGAGTTTTGAAAGAATTTAAAAGAAAGTGTAAGTACATTTTTAAAATTTAAAAGTAGCGGCAAAGTATTACATTTGCTCGCATTAAGATCAAGACATTTTTATAAGGACAGTTAAAAAAAATGAGTAAACTCTGCATTTGTTTTGGAATTGAAATTGTAAAGATTCAATGTTAAAAATGTAATCATTAGTCGACCGAGTGCCCTAAAGAAAAGTGGAGTCTTCCACATTTTAACGAACTGTTAAATCTGCTGATGAATCATTTGCAGTCCTCTGAGCTATTCCAAGACATTGATAAACTTCCGTAGGCGATATCATCCTCTTGGCGTCCGCCAAGGCACATCCCAGCCCAGGAGGAAGGAAAACTTCATCCCAAATGATCCTTGGATCGTAAAAAAAGAAGCTTTGGAAATATTCTGTGCTGTATTATGAACCAATAATTTCAAATACGGAACAAATGAAACAAAGTAACGGATTTATGCAAGAATCCATGGCGACTGAAGAAGTGGATGTTCCACTTATAAGCAATGAAAAAATGGAAATAAATAATATTTCTTCAGCGGGGGCTGAAGAATTTTCTTTGGCCCCTATCAAATCTAAGAGTGTGCCGTTGTTTAAGTTAACGTGAGTATATTTTTAGATTTTCGTTCCTTGAAAACTCTCAGACACAATGCAATTAATGTTTCCCAAAGTTTTTGTTTTCTCTAAACATATTTGTTTTGTAAATTATTCTATTTTCATGCACGGGAGCAATACTTTTACCGTGTTTTTAAAAATATTTCACTGAGAATATGTCAAAATATAAATAAATAAATAAAATCTTCTACTGGAGCTTTAAATAAAATGTTTTATTTTTTATTTGAGCCACTTAAAAGTTTTTAAATATGTTGCTTGGAACCTCAAATTGTTTACAAAAAGGTTACACATTTTCATTTAAGTACTTCGTAATTTTCTTTAAAGTTATAATTTTTATTTTAAAAACTATTTTGTACGTTGAATGTAACTTTTGAGCTTTAAAACAAAATCTGAATAAATATCAAAATGTTAAAACTAATAAGTTATGGAAAGCTTTAAGTTAATTTCAAACACTTATTGTATAATTATTTGATTTTTATCATTTCCATTTATTTTAAGTTTTTTATGTTTGCAATGAAAAAGAAATAAAAATACCCATTATTTACCAGCTCCTTACAATGTCTTTTAGAAAGCATTGAACTCTGAAACCAATCTAAGGGAGAGATTGTTGGTCAACGTTTTGCATGCTGGATCAAAAAAGTCCTAACTATAGAACAGGCGCTTGTGAAGAAAGGTAATTCAAAACCAGAGAAAAGGAATGCTGAGCACAGGCGGAGGTATTCTACACGACAACGCTCACTCACGCGTCTTTTGTCAAACCATCGCTATTTTACAACTATATAAATGGAAAATCACCACCCACCCGCTCTATAGTCAGGACTTGGCACCCAGTTACTTCCAAGTTGAAATAACATTTGACCGAAAGGCGATTCGATTTCAACAATGAATTGAAAAGTAAGGTTCGGTGCATTATCAAAGACATGGTAGGGAACTGGTATGACATGAGCATAAAATAATTGTCACATTATCTACAAAAATGTATCAAGTTAAGCTGTGATTTTATAGAAAAATAGACTAATGTTTAAGGTCTAAAATAATGGAAATATTTTTCTTAATTTTTTTTGTTTGTTTTTCAGTTTAAAAAAAAAACTACAGCCTCTTCTTAGTTTTATTCCTACCCCTTATCTGCATTAATGCATTTTTCTATTGTAATATTAATCCATTATTAATTATTATACTACAGTCTTCCGCTGATACAATGCCAAAGGTATGTATTGCCGTAATGTTAAAAAGAAACCCTGCCAACACAAAATGTACCATTTATTTTTAATACAAAATTATTTTGTGAATTCAATATGTTCTTAAAAAATGTTTCTTAATTTAAAAATTAGATATTTCGAAGTGTTAACTTTGCAATGTTAACGCTTCGAAGTGTTAGCGTATAAAGGTGAAATATGCATTCAGTTATAAGTCGGACTTAGTTCAGAAGTGCAAAATTTAATTCTAATAATTCACTTTATTTCTATTTGGCCTTTATTTTGGAGCTGATTATTTCTAAGCCGTATAAATGCATGGAAACACAAGATTTTTTGCATCATAGCTGTGTGATTTTCTGCATCATAACAGGCCGGCATAGCCTGGCTGGTTGGTCAATGGGCCCATGTCCAAGAGTTCGTGGGTTCGATCCCAGCCGGCCGAAGACTCCCCATTTAGTAAATGGTGACTGATACACGTTAAATCTGCTGAGTCGCAAAGTCCTCCATGCTCCTATAACAAATCAAAACCTCTGGGGGTACTGATCCAGGAGATTCCTTGTCTTCTGAATTGGTTCAAAATTACAAGGCTACGGAGTTGAACATTAGTAGTCATAAACCCAAGATTGGGTCGGCTGTTCAACGACGGTTATAAAAAAAAAGATGGGATAACATCTTAAAAAACAACGATCCATTAAATAAATAAATAAATAAAACTCATCGAGAAATATTAATGATGAACAGATAAGATTTGACGCGTGCAGTGTTTTTAATTTAATTAATCGATTTAAATTCTTGGCAGTAATGTGAAACCTGTGTCTATCAAAAAAAAAAAGTATCCATTAAGTTTAATCTAAGTTGATATATAAGTTGATTTATAAAGTTAAATACTGCAATCTACTGCTTTTTTTTATTTATTTTATTTTTTTAAAAATTACTGTTGCTTGATTTCCAAAATATTTTTCCTAGATATATTTTAGTGGATACGGATGATGTATTGATAATAAATATATTTCATAATTCTTATTTATTTTACCGAATCGCCTTTCACATTTTGATACCAGTAAAAGGATTTTTGCGAAAAGAAATACACTAAAACATAATTGAACTATAAATTAAAAACCTAATTTGTATTAAAATTGCTGGGAGAGGGACGCATCGAAGTTGGAAGTATCTGATTTTATTCATACCGTAAAATGCAAATTTTATTTGGTAAGAAATAAAAGCATAAAAATTTGCAAAATTGGATTAAATTGAATTAAGGAACCATATTGATAAAAAGATGATTTAATCACGTATTTATTAATAAAATAATATTTAAAAATATAACCTGCATTCTAATGAACATACAAGATTTTTAATGTAATTTTTTTAAAGCAAAATTAGTTTTTTTTTCAATAGTTTTTTTATTTTTTTCGATTTTTAGAATATGATTTTAACTTATTTTGGCTTTAAGCTTGTATATTTTATAAGTCCTGTTGCAACACGCAACTGCCTACAGAGATAGCTAAAAGAGATTTATCTTTTTCTTTTTACTTATATTTTTTATTTTTTGAAGCCTAGTAAACGATTCTCGTAAGAATCCTCGGTAAACAATAGGCTGAATGCAACGAGAATTAAAGTTTATACCTAAATTATTTATATTTTCAATTTTAAATATTACTGACTTTGGAAGCAGGAAAAATATATTTTTCAAATAAAAACAAATTTTTTTATTACTCTTGAATGTTAATAACATGAAGATGTTTTTAAATCTATAAAAAAAGAATTTTTTTTCCAAATGTAAAAACAGATGTGTATATAAAAAATATTACGTACAGTGCTTAAAAATAGGGAATTCTCTAAATAACTTCTGATCTAATGATTGGATTATCACTTACTAAAATTTGTTAATTTCATGCAAAAATGGTTTTTAATAATAATTTATTAACAAGAATAGTAAAATTTTAAGTTGTAAGTTTTAAATATTTTTGCATCTATTTAAAGAAAGTGATTTTAAATTATAAAATGTTAAATTAGAACGAAATCGGTTGAATACTTCTTGAAAAATCAAATTTTAAATGTACGATTGTATTGTAAAATTTGTATTTCGCCCTTGAAAATTGTTTTTTAAGTTGTAAAAATGTGTATACCTTACAATTCAAAATGTTTGCTATAATTAAATTAAAAACAAAATTAATAAATAATTATTGGAAATAGTTTTTTGATACACCAATTTTATAATTGTGCAAAAAAGAAAAAAAAAACTTTTCTATTCGCTTAAAAAAGTCCTCGAGATATGGTGAAGTGTGCAAAAAATTAACAATAATGGGTCCAAACTTTTGACCTTTCTCCTGATTAAACTATTGGGACCATATTTTCCAGATTGGGCTACCCTATCAATTTAAATTATAAAAATCTGAGTCCGTAAGAAAAAAGAGTATGCTTATTCAGAGAAGTATGGTTTTGCGTTTAAAGTCATGACTTTAAAATATCATTTCTCATTAATCACACTAATTTATTAGCATATTTAAAGTTAGGTCCACGAACCATTAAGATTGAGTCTTAGAACGAGAAAGTCTGATCTTTAGAACAAAAGCTTTCTACTCACCTTTTTTTTACTTACTGTGCATGTTTCTAAGAAATTTTATTTTTCATAGTTCTGTTATTCCTGTTTTAATTGACTGATATTTGTTTCATCACATTCTATTATATTTTTAACTTCTTACCTTTTTTTTACATAACTTGTTTTACCAAGTCATAATATTAGCATGCTAATGCTATCTTCAAGGTAAATGTTGCTTTAATAATTTAATAATTTGTTTCGTAATTTTAGAAAAAGTCATATACGCAGAAAGTTCTATTTTTAAAAAAATATCTTAATTACGAAAAAAGGAGATTAACATAAAAATAGCAAGATCTATACTTGACTTTTATTTATTTATTTATTATTATTATTTTTTTTTAGATAAAGCTAGTTAAAATAGCAACATAGGGTCGAAATATATAAATATATTTTTTATTTATTTTTATTAATGAATTAAGTATTAATGAACACTTAGTGATTTATTAAACAGTTACTTGACAAAATTATGCTTGAAAAGTGTTCAATATTGCTGTAATATTATATCATTTTTAGAATCCTTTAATGTTTTTCAGTGATCTTGCTAGCAGCCCTATTCAACTGTTTAGTGAAAAATCCCCAATTCTTAGTAAGGACACAGACTTTTAAAATCGGATCGACATTGAAACATAATATTGATTTTTTGAACCATAATTCGCTACACATTCGTCGCAATGTTAAAAAGGTGTTGAAATGAACAATGCTTCCATTCAATTTAAACCAATTCTATTATGTAATCAAGTTCACGAAGTACTATAATAAGGTCCAACTTAGCTTCATATTAATGTTGTGTCGAATTTGAATGATATGATGGATCAACGTGCAAGGGTTCTAATAATACTTCAAAAAGGTAAACATGATATTTATTTTATATGAACTGAATTCATGAATTGTCTTTGCAGTTTCATAGTATTCAAAAACATTAAAGAAATATGGAACTTCTGAATATAATGTAATACCAAATTTCAAAAATTTTTTTACCTGTACTATTGAAAATTTTGGAGTGTTTTGAACCGTTGCATCGCTCAAACTTGTTTCAATCTTAATATAGGGCTAAGTAAAACTACATAGTATTTCTTAAACCTGATTACATTTTAATACGTTTTAACTTGAATCGATATTAAATCAACTCGAATTTACCATCTTATTAATGAGTTGGTAATTTAAACCAGTTTTTACAACCATAATTATGG